CACACAGCCCCTGTGCCCCCCGTTTCCCATGTTCTGGCTGCTTCCCAGTGCGCGTAAGGCCGGAGCCGCTCTAGGTAAACTCTGGGGGAGGGTGGGCGGGCTGCGAGGAGCTCGCGGGCCGCAGAAAATAACCCAGCGGGCCGCGTGTTTGAGACCCCTGGCGTAGGGTGACCAGATGTCCCGATTTTTGGGTCTTTTTCTTATAGGCTCCTATTACCCCCCCCACATCCCCATCCCAATTTTTCACATTTGCTGTCTGGTCACCCTAGGCGTGTCTGATCCAGGGCTGGAGCCTCCCAGGGGGGGCAGAGATGGGGTTACCGCTCCCCCTGGAGGGGATCAAGCCCCCACCAGTCCCAGTTCCTGCCCCCCCCATCAGTCGAGCTGCTCTGGGAGGAAGTGGGAGGTGCAGAGCCAGCCGCAGGGACAGGAAGAGGCTCGGCACAGAGCACCAGCCCCTGAGTGCTCAGAAAGTGTCACCTGGGGCTCAGCCACCCTCTGAAGATGGCCCCATCCCAGATCTGGATGTCCCTGGGGGGAGCAGAGGGAGAGCAGGCACTGGGGGCAGGGCTGAGGAGGGGATCGGACCCCTGGAATGGGGAGGGTGTGATGGGGGAAGAGGAACCCAGGGAGGGGGGAAGGCAGAGTGTGGGGAAGTTAACCACCGGGGAGAGCTGGGCAAGGCAACGAGTGGGAGAGCTGACCCCCAGGGGTGGGGGGTTGGGCAGGGCAGGGTGGAGGTTGTTATAAAGGGCAGGGTGTGCGGGAGCTGACCCCCTGGGGCAGGGCTGGGCTGGGCAGGGCAGGGGGTGGGGGAGCTGACCCCACTGGGGGCTGGAGAGGGCAGGGTGTGGGGGGTGTTGGGCAGGGTGTGGGGGAGCTGACCCCCTGGGGCAGGGCTTGGCAGGACAAGGAGTAGGGGAGCTGACCCCCAGGGGTGCGGGGGTGGGCAGGACAGGGGGCAGGGGAGCTGACCCCACTGGGGGCTGGGCAGGGCAGGGTGTGGGGGAGCTGGCACCCAATAGGCAAGACAGGACGGTGGGGGGAGCAGATGATACCCAGCCCCTCCTCAGAGCAAGGGATGGGGGTTCTTAAAGGGTCAGCACCAAATTTAAAAGTCATCTGAGTTACCAGCACTTGGTAGGACCCTGGGGACAATCATGTGTCCCATTCTGTCACGCAGCTCCTTTGGACAGCAGTGCTATCTACTGGTGGGTGGTGGTGTCACTGCCCAGCTCTCAGGTACTAGCCCTGTACTGCGATACCTGGGCTGTGTGTGCTCCAGGGAAGGGGGTTCACACAGGCACTAACTCAGAGGTGGGCAAACTACAGCCCGCGGACCATATCTGGCCACGGGACTGTCCTGCCCGGCCCTTGAGCTCCAGGCCAGGGAGGCTAGCCCCCGGCCCGTTCCTTGCTGTCCCCCTTCCCCGCAGCCTCAGCTCACCGTGCCACCAGCGCTTTGGGCGGCGGGCTGCGAGCTCCTGCCAGCCTGCACAGCTGCGAGAGCCACCAGCCTGCCCCGGTGCTCTAGACTGCAGGACGGTGTGGCTGGCTCTGACCGGGCGGCCCGGCTGACAGTCCTGCTGCTGTGAATGGCCTGGTAAGGGGGTGGGCAGCAGGGGGGTTGGATAAGGGGCAGGGGATCCTGGGGGGCATTCAGAAGACAGGGAGCAGGTTGGATCGGTGTGGGAGTCCCGGGGGGGGCCTGTCAGGGGGCGGGGGTGTGGATAGGGGTTGGGGCAGTCAGGGGACAGGGAGCAGTGGGGGTTAGATGGGGGTGGGCTACTGGGGGGGGCGGTTAGGGGCGGGGGATTCCGGGAGGGGGCGGTCAGGGGACAGGGAGCAGGGGGGGTTGGATGGCTCGGGGGGAGTTCTGAGGGGGCAGGAAGTGGGAAGGGGCGGATGGGGGCGGGGACCAGGCTGTTTGGGGAGGCACAGCCTTCCCTACCTAGCCCTCCATACAGTTTCAGAACCCCGATGTGGCCCTCAGGCCAAAAAGTTTGCCCACCCCTGCATTAACTGCTGGATTTGGGGTTCGTTCCCAGAGCACAGTAGGGGTGAGATGAGACCCAGCCACATCTGGCAGGTGCCCAAAGCTTGGTGCCATCGCAGACAGTGGGGAAACAGGGAGGGTCAAGTGATTTTCCGAGGGTCCCCCAGAAAGTCTGGCCAAGCCAGGGATAAAACCCAGCTGGCCGAGGGCTTCTCGCCGTCCCCTAGCCCATTCTGCCCCCTGGCCGGACCCCTATGCACCTCCGGCTCCAGGCAGTCTCTGCTTCCCATCACCTGTGGGGCCGCACCTGTCTCCCCGGAGCTGAGCTGCCCGAGACTAGTGCGGAAGCCTGGCCAGTCTCAGCCAGGTGCAGGCGGGGGGAACAGTGTGGGGGGCTTGGCTGGGCCCCTCCAGGCAAGTGTGTCTCGAGGGAGCCTGGTGACTGCAGCCGGGAGGCAGGGCATGCGGGAGTGGGTCTCTGGGATGTGGGCGGAATGGGCTGTGAGGGGACAGGGAAAATGTGTGTTGGGGCACTGGGGAGTGGGGGTTCTGTGGGGAGTGCTGGGCAGTTGTGGTGGGGCTGTGGGCAGGGGGGTGCTGTGCATTTGTGGGGTGAGGGGGCACTGGGCATAGTGGGTCCAGGGGGATTCTGGCCATAGGGAGTCGGGGGGGGGCAGTGTTGGGCGGGGAGAGCTGTGTAGCACGGCTTGGGCCCGTCCCTGAGGGGCAGGGGCACGCTGGCAGCACACAGCTGAGTGGGCCACTGTGGATCTGGCAACTGCCAGTTTGTAAATAGTGGCCTCGCACTGGGCTGGGCGGTGCGGGGCCACCCCTGCCATGCCATGCCCCATTGCCTCTGGCTGGCCCCTTGCTCTGGGGACTGACCTCCCTGTGCCATGCACCATTGCCTCCATGGGGGCCCAAAAATATGTTTGGCGCCGGCAGGACCATCCCTAGCCATTTGGGTGCCTTACGCAGCCCCCCCGCAGGGGGCTGTGTGGGGCCCCAGGCCTCCCCCCCAGGTCTGGGAGGCAGGAGGTGTCTGGGGCCACTTTGGGGGGCTCCACAGGCCCAGAGTGGCCCAAGGGATTAGTGGGGGGCCAGGAGCACCCTGCTCCTCTTCCCTTGCCCCAGCCCCAGCCATGTCCCTCGGGGGAGAAGGCTTGGGGGAGGGGATCCGGTGAGAGCCGGGGGCAGTCCCTTCCCTACCCCGAGCGACACGGCTGGGGCTGGGGCAAGGGGAGCGGAGCGGACTGGAGCCGCATCTCTCCGCTTCCCGCCGCTGGTGAGTGTGGGGGGCATCCTTTCCCCGCACTCACCGGCGGCGGGAAGCAGAGCGCTGCGGCTGGGAGCTGGCGGAGGAGAGCGGGCTGGGGCCGGGTTGCTCCACTTCCCACTGCTGCCGGTGAGTGCGGGGTCGCTGGGGGAAGTGGGGTGGGCCAGGGGCGGAGCAGGGGGGAAGGGTAAGAGGCAGGGCAGAGGGAGTTGTTCGGGGCCCCACACCCCCCTAGGGATGGCCCTTCCCCTTGCGGGGGGACGGGACGGCCGAGGGATAGGGCTAGTCGCCAGGACTGGTGCTAGCATGTATGCTGCACGCAGTTGCCTAGGGCACCATGACATTTGGGGCAATTTGGTGCCCTACGCAGCTGCGTAGGCCTAAGGATGGCCCTGGGCACCGCCCGGGCCCACAAAAGATTAATCCAGGCCTGCCTGACTCCTAGACTATGCCGCCTTCTGGGCACAATGCAATCATCACAGCTGCCAAACCAATACAACCCGTCTCTGCTCCCATTAGTAATACCCCCCCCACATGCCCCCAGTCCCCCACCTGCCAAGTGCCCTGGCACTGCATCCTGCCTGTGGATACAGTGGAACTGTCCCTGCCCCTGTAATGAAGCTACCTTTGGGGAGGAGCCCACCAGCTGCCAAACAGCAACTTTTGCCCCCCTGACGTCTCTCCAACAGGCTGCTCTGAGCTCAGCGGAGGGACAAAGGACCAATTCCCAAACTGAACCACTGGAGTGGATCCCCTCCCGGCCCCTGCGCCCCCCGCCCAGCTGGCGTGCTCCCCTTCAGGCCAAACTCAGCCCCAGCAGGAGCAGCTGTGGCTGGCAGGGGGAGGCTCCTAGTGCCCCTGCTCCCAGTGCCGAGGGGCAGGTGCCCGGAGGTGCTGGGGTGCCCACAGAGGGCAAGCTGGGCAGGGCTGCCCTGACTCACCTCTCCGTGTGGCACAGAGCAGCCAGCACCACGACCCCATCGCTCCAGCTGATCCCTGGGCTGGGGCGTCTCCCCCATCAGCACCCAGGCAGCTGGGAGCCCTGGGGGGTGGGGAGGGGGAAGGAAACAGCCTGGCCCTATCTCTCAGGATCAGCACACGCAGCACAGAGGAAGCCATGACACACCCGAGACATCTCTGCTGAGAGCGCTTCCTCCCCAGCGCTGCATCCGCATAGCCCTCTGCAGCATGGCTCACACACAGCACCAGGCAGGGGGCTACGGGTGGCAAGTGTGTGTGCATGTATGTGAGAGTGCACGTGTAAGAATACCTGTGTGAGTATGAGTATGCATATAGGAGTGTGTGCGTATGAATGCATGCATGCACTCGTGTGTGTGTACATGTGTGTCAGTGTGCATGGCACTGTGTCAGGGCTCACTCACCGGTGTCCCTCCTGCAGCCCAGGGACGGATGAGCGTTGGTCTCCGAAATGGAGCTGCCAGTTCTGTTCCGGCTCTTGTACAAAACCTGGGAGTAAGGAGCAGAGCCTAGAACATCAGCAAGTGACTGACCCCGGTGTCCATTCCTCCACTGGGCCTCCCTCCCTGTCGCCCCACTCCCTCTGCCGGCCCCTCTCCTTCTCTGCCAACCCCATGGCCTCCATCCCTCCACTGGACCTCCGTCCCTCCCCATGACCCCCATCCCCTCTGCTGGGCCTCCCTCCCTACCGGTCCCATCCCCTGCACCTGGCCTCCCTCCCCACAGCCTCCATGCCCTCCATGGGGCTCCCTCCCACCTTGGCAATCCCATCCCCTCTGCCTGGCCTCCCTCCCCGCAATCTCCATCCCTCCACCTGGCCTCTCTCCCTCCCCACAGCCTCCATCCCTCCACCCAGTCTCCATCCCTCCCTGCCACCCCCATCCCCTCCGCCCAGCCTCCCTCCCTGCTGCCTGCCTAGTCTCTCTATTCCCCATGCCCCACTCACCCCTCCATTCCCCACACCTATCCCTGCCCAAGCCCAGAGGGTCTGCAAGGCTGGGCCCTCTCCCAGTGGTGCCTCTCCAGCAGAGCAGAATCTCCCCCCACCAGCCCTCCTGGGCAGTGGCTGCTGTGGGGCAGCTTCAGGCATTGGGTCCTCCCTGACCCCTGATGCCAATTCCACCCCAACAATACACAGGCCCAAGAAGCTAGCCCCCGCCTCCAGCAGGGGGTTCAGGAACCGGCTCCGCCCAAGGGCAACAGGTTCAGCTCCCAAGGGAGCCCTTGGCAGACTCTAAAGCTGCCGGGTAGGGACCCCTGGGGCTGGAGCAGGGGGGTGAGGAGCCCTCCACAGATCCAGAGTCCAGTTGGGAGCACAGTGACCAATGGGGTGCAATGCTGGGAGCGACATCCCTGCCCCTACCACAGGCCCCTCACCTCCTCATCCCCTCCACTCCACTTCCCAGGCCCCGCACCTCCTCATCCCCTTCCCCTGGCCAGGCCCCTCACCTCCTTGTCCCCATCCCCACCACCCCCAAGCCCCTCACCTCCTTTCCCCATCCCCCCAACCCCCAGGCCCTTCATCTCGTCATTCGAAACCTCTCGTCCCACCCCTCAAGCCCCACACCTCCTTTCCCCATCCCCCGCTTTATTCCCCCCAGGCCCCTCACCTCCTCGTCCCTGGCCATCAGCACCAGCTGTCCAGCCACCAGGGAGAAGTTCGAGACATCCCAGACAGGGACCTCGGGGGACGGGGCCAGCGGAATCCGCTGCACGGGGCGCACGCCATCTGGGGGGAGAGAGGCAGCTCGTCAGGAGGGTGACACCTGGCCTCAGGGATCAGATCCCCCCAAATCTCCCGACTCCTGTCCACACCCGCATCTGTCCATCTCTCCCCGCTCCTGTCCATCCTTTCCCTCCCCGCCTCTCTTTACTCTTCCCCTGCCCCACTCTTCCACCTCCCTTCTCCTGTTTGGGTTTTTATACCATGCCCATCACTGTGGGATCTGGGCAGTGCTGCAGTCAGGCTCTGGGCCGGGATCCCCGCAATGCTGCACTATGTGAGATGTAAGAGGCTGGCCTGGCTATGGGCCCATGGACCCCATCACACCATGCCACACTCTGGGTCTGCCCCTCTGCCCCCTGGTGAGTTGTGGGTCTGTGTCCATCCCCTTTGGGCTGCACGCAGGCTCTGGCAGTGGCACTCTCTCTATAGATTGGCCTCACAGATCAGCGCCGGGGGACCTGGGGGACTTGTGGCAATTGGCAAGCCAGGTTATTGGCGGGTCAGGCAGGCCCAGTGTTCACCAGCAGTTAGGGCCTTTGGGTGGCACTGGGGCAGGTGCTGCCCAAGTCCTGGGAGTCGGAGCTTTCCTGGGCACCTCCCCCTGCATTCATGCTCCCAGCCGGCTGGGCTGCCCCTGCTCCCAGCAGCAGCAGCAGGAGCAAGCAGCCCATGTCTGGGCCGGGATGGAATAGAGGGGGTGGGGACCAGGCCCCTCCTGTCCCCCAGGGGGACTCCTGCCTGCACTTGTGCATTGCAGGCGTGGGCTGCCAGGGCATGGAGCCGGTTCCACTGGAATCGGTGGCGGGGGATGGGGACGGGCAGCTGCAGGTTGTTGGGCACCTGCCAAGCCCAGGAGCTCAGTGTCTGGAACACACCCACTCTAGTTTCTACACACAGGGTGGTGCCCGGCAGAACCAGCCACGCTGCACATTTAAAATACCACTGCAGCCTGCTCGAAGGGGATCCCTAATGCCGAGTGTGGACCCACTGGGTCGATGCTAGGCCCTCAGCTGTGAGCCAGTCTCCTGGAGGAACTCCATCCCTGTGCCAGACCCCAAGGGATCTCACTCTTCCTCCAGGGCAGGCCACTCAGCCTCACTGAACCACTGGGCTTCAGCGCTCCTTCTTCTCCCTGGGAACTCTGCTCAGTGAGTCCAGCTGAGAGAGACCCTGATAGAGACTTGTACGTGCTTCAGGAATTAATGCCCCTCACCCCATAGTTACAGTGACACACAGCGCTGTCAAGACAGTCAGGTTTATTAGTCTAGAACTCAGCATGGGAAGTCCTGAGGTCAGCACAGAGCAGTGAGGGTTAAAGCACAGACCATTCTGGTTAGCCCAGATCCCAGCCAAGCTGAAGTGAACAGCCTCTGTTTGTCTCTCGGGCTGTCTACACTGCACTTTTGTCGATAAAACTTTTATCGGTCAAGGGTGTGAAAAAACACACCCCTGACCGACAAAAGTTTTATCGGCGAAAAGCACCGGTATCTCCCACCAACAAAGCTACCGCCGCTTGTTGGGGGTGGTTTTATTTTGCCAGCAGTAGAGCTTTTTCCTGCCAGCAAAGAGCGGCTACGCGGGAGACCTTTGTGCCGCTGTAAGGTACGCAGTGTAGACATAGCCTTAGTCTGACTTCCTTGGTGAGAGTCCAGCTTCCACCAGAAGCCAACATTTATCCCCCACCTCAGACCTTCCCCGTCCTTTGTTCTCAGGAGGGGGAGGAGGGCAGTCTGGTCTGTGCTCACCTTCCCTGCTGAGAGAGTGGATCCAGGAGTCATTGGAGCTGGCATTGTCTCTCTGGACACCCTGTTGATCTGGGTCAGATTCAATTGGTTCCTTAATTACTCTATTCATTCCACCCAGGGGCAGCTTTATGCTTTTTGCCGCCCCAAGCACGGCCGGCAGGCAGCCTTCGGCGGCACGCCTGCGGGAGGTCCGCTGGTAACGTGGATTCGGCGGCACGCCTGCGGGAGGTCCGCTGGTAATGTGGATTCGGCGGCACGCCTGCGGGAGGTCCGCTGGTAACGTGGATTCGGCGGCACGCCTGCGGGAGGTCCGCTGGTAACGTGGATTCGGCGGCACGCCTGCGGGAGGTCCGCTGGTAACGTGGATTCGGCGGCACGCCTGCGGGAGGTCCACCGGTCCTGCGGCTTCGGCATAGCTGCCGCTAAATTGCTGCCGAAGCCACGGGACCGGTGGACCTCCCGCAGGCATGCCGTCGAAGGCAGTCTGACTGCCGCCCTTACGGCGACCAGCAGGCCGTAAGGCTTGGTACGCTGGTGCCTGGAGCCGCCCCTGATTCCACCCAGACAGGGAGGTAACACGCACACCTATGTCTCTTAGGGGTACATCTACACTACAGGGGGGAGTTGATTTAAGATACGCAAATTCAGCTACGTGAATAGCGTAGCTGAATTCGACGTATCGCAGCCGACTTACCCCGCTGTGAGGACGGCGACAAAATCGACTTCTGCGGCTTTCTGTCGACGGCGCTTACTCCCACCTCCGCTGGTGGAGTAAGAGCGCCGATTCGGGGATCGATTGTCGCGTCCCGATGGGACGCGATAAATCGATCCCCGAGAGATCGATTTCTACCCGCCGATTCAGGCGGGTAGTGTAGACCTAGCCTTAGCCTTCCCTGAGAACAAACTTAGGCCATGTCTACACTATGAAGTTTTGTCAACAAAAGTTATACCATTTTAATTAAACTGCTGTTGCATGTCCACATTAGCTCCTTGTGTCTGCAGAGCGCATCCACATTAGCAGCTCTTGCATCGACACAGAGAGCAGTAGCTATCCCACTGTGCAACTGGCCACAAGGTGCTTTGGGAAAGGTTTGCAATGCCTCATGGGGCAGGTGCAGTGTCACATGATGCAGGTTTCTCAATCCCATCCCCATAGGCATCCTACTGGATTGCCAGTGGCTTTTCACTGAAGTGTCTGTGTGTGGGGGAGGGGAGAATGTGGTGAGTGTGTGGTGGGGAGGGGGAAGACAGAAACAGTGTGTGTGTTGGGGAAGAGCCTGTCGGCATGCTGTCTCTTTAAATTCAGACAGCAGCCTGAGCAACCAATCCTGGGGGAGGGGACACCCTCCCACATCAGTCCCTGGCTCTGCACAGCACAGCAGTCTCCCCTCCCAGCAGCAGTGGCCACCTGCTGATTCCACATTAATGGTTCTGTGACTCCCTCCTCAGCTCTGTGAGCTCTCCAGGCTGAGGAATGACAAAGCTTCTGGGAGCTTTGAAAGGGGAGGGGTCCATGCCTGCCCGCCCAGTGGCTGAGATCAAAACAGTGAGCAGAGCGGTCACGGTAGGCATTGTGGGATACTGGGGGAGGCCAGCTATATCAACATAACGAACAGCAGTGTCTACACCAGTGGTCACCAACCTGTAGATCGCAATTGACTGGTTGATCCTGGAGCCTCTGAAAGTCGATCGCAATCTCCGGCTGCTAAAAGTCTGGCAGCACAGACAGGGCCGGCTCTGGCTTTTTAGCCGCCCCAGGCAAAAAAAGCCTCCCACCGCGCCCCCCGCCCCCCCAGCGCGGCAGGGGAGGGCACCGAGCCCGGCCGCAGGCCGCTCTTCCTGACCGGCCAGAGTGCCGGGGGGAGGGCGGCGAGCCTGCCGCGGCTCCACTGGTGGCCGGAGCCCCGGGAGGAGGGCGGAGAGCCTGGCCGGGGCTCCGCTCTCCCCGGCGGCCAGAGCGCCGGGAAGAGGGCGGCGAGCCCTCCGCGGTTCCGCTCTCCCCGGCGGCCAGAGCGCCGGGGGGAGGGCAGCGAGCTGGCCGGGGCTCCGCTCTCCCCGGCGGCCAGAGTGCCGGGGGGAGGGCGGAGAGCCCGCCACGGCTCCGCTCTCCCCCGTGGCCAGAGCGCCGGGGGGAGGGCGGAGTGGCGGCCAGAGCCCCGGGGGGAGGACGGAGTGCCGGCCGGGGCTCCGCTCTCCCCGGCAGCCGGAGCCGGAGCACCGCGCCGCCCCCCTCCAGGTGCCGCCCCAAGCACAAGCTTGGTGGGCTGGTGCCTGGAGCCGGCCCTGAGCACAGAGGGGCTAAGACAGGCCCCCTGCCTGCCCTGGCCTTGCACCACTCCCAGAAGCATCCAGCACGCCCCTGCGGCCCTGGGGGAGGGGCAGAGGTCTCCGCACACTGCTCCTGCCTGCAAGCACAGCCCCGCAGCTCCCATTGGCCGGGAATGAGAAACTGCAGCCAATGGGAGCTGCAGGGGCAGTACCTGCAGGGATGGGCAGTGTGCAGAGTCATGTGTCCCCCCAGGGGCCGCAGGGGCATGCTGGCTGCTTCCAGGATCGGTATGGGGCAGGGACAGGCAGGGAGCCTGCCTTAGCCCTGCTGCGCTGCCAACTGGGAGCTGCCCGAGGTAAGTGCCACCCGGCGGGAGCCCATACCCCTCATGCATCCCAAACCCCAGCTCTGAGCCCCCTGCCAGAGCCACCAACCCATAGCCCCTCCTGCACCCCAAATCATAGAATCATAGGGTTGGAAGGGACCTCAGGAGGTCATCTAGTCCAACCCCCTGCTCAAAGCAGGACCAATTCCCAACTAAATCATCCCAGCCAGGGCTTTGTCAAGCCTGACCTTAAAAACCTCTAAGGAAGGAGATTCCACCACCTCCCTAGGTAACCCATTCCAGTGCTTCACCACCCACCTAGTGAGCCCTGAGCCCCCTCCCAGAGCTAGCACCCTGTACCCCCTCCTACACCCCAACACTGCCCCAGCCTGGAGCCCCCTCCTGCACCCCAATCCCCTGCCCCAGTCTCAGCCTGGAACCCCCTCCCACACTCCAAACCCCTCAGCCCTAGCCCAGAGCCCACACCCCTGCCCCAGCCCGGTGAACGTGAGTGAGGGTGGGGGAGAGCAAGTGACAGAGGGAGGATGGAGTGAGCGGGGCGGCGCCTCGGGGAAGGGGCGTGGTAGATTCTGGGTTGCACTTAAATTCAAAAAGTGATCTGGTGCGTAAAAAGGTTGGAGACCACTGGCCTACACTGACACGT